TTCAAAGGTGAAATTATGTAGAATAAAGGGAAAAAGAGAAAAAGAAATAAGTACATGAGCAATATAGGTAGAGAGGGAGGCAGAGTTATAAAACGACCAACAAAAGTAACTCAATCAATCAAAGCATAAATGGTCCTTATTGATCTAGTAAAATGCCTGTGAGTTCTCCAAAGTTCCCATTTTCTGTCAAATATAAATGCATCTTATCCAATAGAGTATAATGAATTCTCTCCATGAGCATCACCGCATCAACTCTGCAGAACTGTGGTCAATGGTACTGTGAGGGATTTCCAATGTAGGGCAATAGCCCATAGGGTGGATATACAAATGCTATGGATTAGCCTCATAACCTCAGTCTGAACTCCCGAGATAGGGGCTCCCAGTAGGCAGGACTGCATAGACAGATGCACCGGAGCACCTGCCACTGCAGAGGCAACTTCAGAAATTTTGTGCCACACCAATGAGAGGCTTGGGCAGGCCCAAATATATGCACTAGAGTACCAGCAAGCCACAGCCCCGGAAACAAAGGTGGGACGTCCCTGGATACATGGCGTGTAGTCTAGATGGGGTATGATATACCATCTGGTTATTACTTTGAGGGCCGTCTCACGGACAGAAAGATCTAGAGCTCTTACACACATTATCCACCATGGAATCCCAATCCTCATCAGAAAAGTGACATCACTATCAGCCTCCCATTTCTGTCTATAAAGAGGGGGTGAGGGGAAAGAAAGTAACCAAAAATTGGCGATACAAATCTGAAATAAGACCCCTGCCCCTAGGAGAGTCACGGCTAATACGTTCAAAAAATGAAATCGGAGATGAAGGTGTAAGACCAAAATGTGAATTAAAAAAATGTCTAATCTGTCGATAATGATAATATTCACGAAGCGGAATATCAAAAAGTATGCGTAGCATCTCAAAAGTGATACAAGATCCTCCTCTCTGAAAGTCAGATGACCTAATAAAGGACCTATCATACCACCAACGGAATACCTGTGAAGATGAGAATGCTGTAATAAAATTTGGGTCACCAAAAAATGATGAACCTGGTGAGACAGAGGAGACAAGATTCAATTTAAGTTTATAACGGGACCAAAACATCAATGATTGGGCAACAATGGAATTATAGAGCAATAACGAGCGGGGGGGGGGGAATTTTGGACCATAATACACCTGGTAAATAGAACGGATGTATAGACTGAGATTCAAATCTGATCCATGGGACCTGGGAAGTAATAGTCACCCATTGTGATAGCTGTGCGAAACGGGCTGACAGGTAGTAAAGCCAGAAATTGGGGAGACCTAGGCCTCCCGCCCATTGTGACCGGTAGAGGACCGATGAAGTAAAACGAGGGCGTTTGTTACGCCAAATAAAATGATTAATAATCCTTTGAAAGCGATCTAAGAACGTTTTTGAGACAGGGATTGGGAGTGATCTAAATAAAGTAATTTAGGGAAGACATTCATTGTTACTGCCGTGACTCTGCCAAGAATGAGATAGGGGATCCATGCCAGATCTTCAATAGAGGTGAGAGGCGTGACACACATGGTGGCCAATTAGCAGCAAATAATTTTGAGTATCTGGGGGTGAGGTTTATACCTAGGTATGAAATCTGATCTGTGGCCCAACGAAAATGGAAAAGAATTGCGGAGAGATGCACCCAGGGAATCAGGAACATTAATAGGCAGAACTACTGATTTAGTAAAATTTACAGTAAGACCTGATACTGTTACAAAGTCATTCAATAATGAGCAGAAGTCAGGCAATGACACCAACAGTTTTAGTAAGGAAAAGCATAACATCATCTGCATACATACAAATTGTGAAATGTGAACCAATAATGGGGAACCAGAAATGTCTGAGTGTGATTATTGCAATTGCCAAGGGTTCCAAAACAAGCGCCAATAATAAGGGCGAAAGAGGACAACCCTGACGGGTACCCTCCGCCTAGTGTACAAAATACAGAATTGCAGCCTGGAAGTCTTATTCTTGTTTTGGGGGGAGTCATACAAAGCATGTACACCAGACAGAAATTCATCACTAAAGCCCATCTTCTGCAGTAATGAAAACAAGTATGGCCAGAGCAGGAGCGGACTGACAACTCATGGGGCCCCCGGGCAATAGGGGATCATGGGGCCCCTATGTCCTTGCCGACACTCAAAGCACACACACAAAAAGCCTTTAAAAAAATGTACTAGGGGCATTTCATGGGGCCCCCTACTGACCCTGAGCCCTCGGGTGGTGCTCGTGTGCTCGAATGGTCAGTCCGCCCCTGGGCCAGAGGACACTATCAATAACAAAAAACTTCTTTAGAATGCAAATTGGTGTCCTGAATAACATTTAATGTGAGAGGAATATTGTCCGTGATAAGTCTGCCTGGGATAAATCCCGATTGGTCCGGTGAGACCAAAGAGGAGATAATGGGGCCAACCTATCTGCCAAGAATGCGGCTAAATATTTTCAGATCATTGTTCATCACTGAGATTGGTCTATAGTTTTGAGGTAAATGATGGTCTTTCAGGGGTTTAGGTAATATAGACAGGTTAGCCAAGAGTATCTCCTCAGGAAACCTACCGCCCTGCAAAACATCATTGAATAATGACATCAAAGAGGGAGCCAATGTAGGAGCAAAATGTTTATAATACTGGCCGTGAACCCATCAGGGCCGGTGCTGTGGAAGTTTTTAGTGCGCTAATCACACAGGATATTTCCTTCAAAGTGCATGGGGCATTGAGAGAGGATATCTGAGAGGGTGAGAGAACAGGGAGGGGGGGGTATAGAATCAAGCCATGAGCCATTTGAGGAAGCAGAAGTTGGTTGCGGGGGAGCTAATAGGGTGGAATAAAATTTTTCAAAAATACCCAGGACTTCACGAGGAAGAGAGGAGATACTGCCGGATTTAGTACGTAACTTGTAGGTATGTGGGGGTCGTATTGAATGGTTTAATTTCTGTGTGAACATAGTAGACCCTGAATTTCTATGTAATAAAAAGGAGGCCTTTGACCAGCGTAGAGCTTTTTCAGTTTTCTGGGATAGTAAAATATTCAGTTCTAGACGCTTTTGCGATATCATGGTTTGTTACGGAGAGATGGATTGCCATCATGAGCCCTATAATGTGATTCTAATTCTCGGGTAAGTTTCTGAATTTGTTTCCATCGCTCTCTATTTCTAGAAGAAGCCATGGAATAAGGTGGCCTCGCAGGAAACGCCTTATGGGCTACCCACAAGATGGCCGGGGAGATATCAGGAGTTGTGTTTGACTGAAAGTATTCTTGAATGGAAGTAACTACTTCATGGCGGGTGTTAGTATCCTAAGCATAGAGTCGTTAAGTCTCCAGGAGTAGGGAGTAGGGGCTAGACCTATAAAAGTGATAGACAGCGCGATAATATTATGATATGACCAGGGGCTTAAATGAATGCAAGCTTTCCTAGAGTTAGCCAGCAGAATGGGGGAGCAATAGATATAATCTAGTCTAGCATAAGAGTCATGTGGGTGGGAGTAAAATGAATAATCTCTAGCTCCTACATTATGTGCCCTCCAGGAGTCTACCAGTTGAAGTGTGTCTAATTTTTTGGTAAGGGATTTTGGGAAGGCCTAGGAGGATGGTGAGAACGAGCTTTGGTCTAAAAGGGGGGTTAGCCACTAAATTAAAATCACCTCCCACCAATAAACGAGGGGATAGAAACCTATAAAGAATTTTGAAAAAAAACGGGAAAAGAAGGATGCTTGTGCCAAATTTGGTGCATAGACATTAGCGATAGTGAGTTTACGACCCGAGAGGGTGCCTTTAATAATGACAAATCTGCCCTCAGGGTCACCTGCCCGAGGGTTTTTTTTTTTACAAAAACACATGGGAATAACATGCCCTTCCCTGCTCGTCCCGGGGAACTCTGGTAAGGACCTGCTGATCTACCAGGTCCCCAATTAGGACACGCAGGGCCTGCACCCTTTCCCGATCCTTGGGAAGGTGGGTTACCAGATACCTGGTGGGGGGACTGAAGTTGAACTCCAACCTGTACCCCTTCTTGATCAAGTCCAGGATGTACAGACTCGAGAAGATTGAAGCCTACTGAGAGAGAAAGGTCCCCAGTCTTCTTTCCATTGGGACATTCAAGTCATTGAGATGAGACTTGGTGGGCCTTGAGGAGGATTGAATAAGATTCCTCCTCTTCCCCTATTCCTGTGCCCTGTCCAATGTTTCTTAGGCTGAACCTCCTTAGCCTGCTGGGCATGTGTTTTTCGACAAAAAACCCTACTAGAATAAAACCTTTTCTTACTCTCTGGGAATGTCCTCTTGTTATGGGCTGTACATTCCAGAGCCTCCTCGAGACCTGGACCAAAAAGATTATCACCAATAAAGGGTAAGGCACAAAGGTGCAGTTTGAATGCTGAGTTCCCTGCCCAGATTTTTAACCAAAATGCCGTTTTAGCTGAATTCACTAGGGCAGAGGTTCAAGCCGCTAGCTTAATTGATTTGGCTGAGGCATCCCCAAGGAAACCAACTGCTTTAACCTCCCTGGCGGTATGATTATTTCAGATTTTTGGTGCTGAGGAAGCGGTACTACTATTTTTTTGCATGGAAATATGTAGTTTTTTTATTGTAGGCTTTAATTTTTAGGAAAAATTCACTGAAATCTGTCCGGACAAGAGTCTAGTAAACATTCCGGATATGATAAAATTTGAAACACAAAATCATAAATTATAATTTAATAAATAATCATCATAAAAATAATATAAAAATAATAAAAAATTTAATTCAATAATATAATCAAACCAAAAAACACTGAAATGTGAAATAGAGCGCCAAGTTCGCACATTGCTGAGCTCAGTCGCAAAATCGTTTTCAGTGTCTGATGACGAATTTCCCCCACGAATCATTATCACTCAATTCTGCAAGTGGTTCTGATTTACTATCGCTGTTCTCTAGCTGATCTAAACCGCTTTTGACCTAAAGGGACACTTTTTGGACGCCATGGACGATTCTCAGTTTCCAGGCAGAAAGAACAGACAAAATGCAGGCAGGGCGCAGGACAAAGCACTAGGGACAATATGTATGTGAAATTGGTTGAGACAGCAATGTTTTACTTACTAAAAAAAAAAAAAAAAATGACATTTTTTTAAAATTTAAATTTCCCCGCCGCCGGCGGCGGCGGCGCCCGTACGTCCCGACGTCACAGGGACAGGACACAGAAAGCCGGATGCCGGCATCGGCCGGAGGAGATGGCCGGGGACGCTGCAGGGGACACATCGTGGGAGCGCAGGGTAAGGCAAGTGAAGAACACATGCCGGAGCAGTGCCGCAGGGTAAGCCCGAGTGTAGCTCGGGGTTACCGCTTTTGGTACTGAAATGTTACCCCGAGCTACACTCGGGAATACCGCCAAGGAGGTTAAACAGCAAAGGAAATTATTTCAGGATTTGCTGCCAGGAGGTTCCTGCTGAGAGAGATGCGACTATAACTATGTAAGCCAGCATTCCAAATTTCTGGTGACACAGGTAGCCGATAAAGCTGGCCTAAAGCTGATGGAAGTGGAATCCCAGGCCCTGCGGAGTAAGACTTCATCCCTCTTATCCATAGGGTCTTTCAGAGCCCCCATATCTTCAAATGTTAAGTCTGTCCTTTTAGAGACTTTAGATAAGGGGGTGTCTAATTTCTGAACCTTGTTCCATTGCTGGGGCCCGTTATCCTAAAAAGGAAACCTCCTATTAAGATTACTTGAGAAAAAGGGTTTCCTCTCAGGGCTTTCCCATTCCTGCTTAATGGTATCAACCAGGGAACTATGGACTGGAAAGACACACTAGTCTTTCTAGCATACAAACCTTGATACATGAGGTCATGCTTAGATAGGCAAACATCCCTCCTCCTCGATCTCTAAGGTTTCGTAGAAAGCTTTAAGGAGGTTGTCCACATCTTCCAGGGGCAATTTGTTCCTGAAACCTCTGGAGGAGCAAACTTCACCGTCCTCCTCTTATGAGCCTGAATCTACCCGGGACCTAGGATCCTCCTCCGGGTCCTCCTCCCCTTTTAATGCATCTGCTACCTCCGAAACCCGCCGATTGGGTCCAAGGAGCCAGTGGCAACTGCATTTTTCAACAGGGATCTAAAGGATTGAAATGTAGACAACATGTCATCCTTAATGGAGGTGAGCACTTTATGGCAGGCTGTAAATGACTTATCCTTAATTAGGCTAGCCACACAATTGCAGCATAAGGGTTTTTCCCAAGCTGAACCCAATTTAGCTGCACAAACTGCACACTTCTTCTTGGGGGTCTGACTCTGCACCTTGTCCTGGACTTTAACCTACAATAAGCAAGAAAAAAAAACAATACAGAAAATAATCAGCCCAGGGCCCCTCATACAAAAAACGCTGTGCTGAGGGAGCAAGAAAAGGAAGTGTGCCCACCAGGGTCAGCAAGAGGGATCAGAGTCCCCAAGCTTACCTTAGAGGAGCCAGTGCCTGAAGGACCAGGATATGCCTGAGAAGTGCAAGCACCTTCCATCCATCCCTCTTGGTGTAGAGCCACAGGCTCTGCTGGGTCTGTACACAGACTGGCTGCTTGACCAGATGCCTGTGCTGCTATGGAGACTGGAACCACGGGTCTCCAGCATCCCTCGATGATGTCACTGCAGCCGAAACTTCCGGTTCCTGGACAGCACCCAGAAGATGCGGCTACTCACGCCTGCTTGGCAGTCATTCTGCCCCACTGTGCATCGGATGCGGGAGCCCCCCCCCCCGCACGGGAAAGAATGCAATAGGCATCAAAGGTCCAGGACCACCCAGGACAACCCCAATGGTCATCATGCACTGAGGCATGGAAAGATATCAGGAGCGCAGCCCCACTTCCCCTGAAGGGATCACGTCGGGCAGGAGGAAGTAAGCCAGACCAGGATCCACCAGCAACCTCTAGGGCCCAGGACTTCAACAATCAGTTCCTTGATGACTGCACCCATCCTTCCAGAGGAAACATTAAAAACTCAGGAGGGAGGCCTGGTGGTCCGCCTTTTATAGTACTGTGCTTACGTGTTTCCTGTCCCAGAGGGAGGAGCTCTTTCTCAGGAAGGATGTCCTGGAGGACGTTTGGAGAAATGAACATTAGAATGACAGAGAGACAAAAGCCAGAAATAGATCAGTGGCTGCATGCACGCCTCATTGTTAGGCTGCAGGTAGAGAGGCAGAGATGAGGCAGGATTTATCATGAAATACAAATTAAAGTGTATTATTTTCAAAACAGCCAAGAATATTTCACAAGGTCTGAAAAGTATGTAAGTCATCGAGTTATTCCCCAATTTAAAAAGAAGAGCATAACTGCAGGTAGTAAATATAAGAGAGGAGTTGCAGATGATACGATGGTGGGTAATATGTACAGGAGAGGAGTGTGTGGGGGGTGTGACAGTGATCGGTACATACAGGAGAGGAGTGTGGAGGTATGACAGTGATCGGTATGTACAGGAGAGGAGTGTGGGTGGAGGTATGACAGTGATCGGTATGTACAGGAGAGGAGTGTGGGGGGTATGACAGTGATAGGTAGTTCAGGAGAGTGTGGAGGTATGACAGTGATGGGTATGTACAGGAGAGGAGTGTGGAGGTATGACAGTGATAGGTATGTACAGGAGAGGAGTGTGGAGGTATGACAGTGATCTGAGTGTACAGGAGAGGAGTGTGGGGGGTATGACAGTGATCGGTACGTACAGGAGAGGAGCACGGAGGTATGACAGTGATCAGTACATACAGGAGAGGAGTACGGAGGTATGACAGTGATCGGTGTGTACAGGAGAGGAGTGTGGAGGTATGACAGTGATCGGTACGTACAGGAGGAGTGTGGGGGGTATGACAGTGATAGGTATGTACAGGAGAGGAGTGTGGAGGTATGACAGACAGTGATCTGTGTGTACAGGAGAGGAGTGCGGGGGGTATGACAGTGATCGGTACGTACAGGAGAGGAGTACGGAAGTATGACAGTGATGGGTATGTACAGGAGAGGAGTGTGGAGGTATGACAGTGACAGTGATGGGTACGTACAGGAGAGGAGTGTGGAGGTATGACAGTGATGGGTATGTACAGGAGAGGAGTACGGAGGTATGACAGTGATGGGTATGTACAGGAGAGGAGTACGGAGGTGTGACAGTGATGGGTATGTACAGGAGAGGAGTACGGAGGTGTGTGATGGGTATGTACAGGAGAGGAGTATGGAGGTATGACAGTGATGGGTATGTACAGGAGAGGAGTGTGGAGGTATGACAGTGATGGGTATGTACAGGAGAGGAGTACGGAGGTATGACAGTGATGGGTATGTACAGGAGAGGAGTACGGAGGTATGACAGTGATGGGTATGTACAGGAGGAGTACGGAGGTATGACAGTGATGGGTATGTACAGGAGAGGAGTACGGAGGTATGACAGTGATGGGTATGTACAGGAGAGGAGTACGGACAGTGATGGTATGACAGTGATGGGGAGGTATGACAGTGATGGGTATGTACAGGAGAGGAGTGTGAGGTATGACAGTGATGGGTATGTACAGGAGAGGAGTACGGAGGTATGACAGTGATGGGTATGTATGTACAGGAGAGGAGAGGAGTACGGAGGTATGACAGTGATGGGTATGTACAGGAGAGGAGTACGGAGGTATGACCGTTCCCAGGGAGGAGTATCTCAGGAAGGGTCTATACTCCACCATAACTCTGGTTCTCGGAGTGTCAGGTCCCAGCGGGTTCTCCTGGTGTCTCTCCTGTTATTCTGTCTCGGACACATCAGAGGAACATGGTGGGAGATCGGCCTGAATGTCCTTCCTAGGAGGGAATACCGGAGCCATTCTGAGGCCCATTTAATGGCCGGCAATGAGGAGGAAACCAACACTGAGAAGTAGATGCTGAGATATATACAGCACGGGGCAGCACAGTGGCTGAGTGGTTAGCACTTCCACCTGGCAGTACTCGGGTTGTTGGTTCAAATCCCAACCATGGCACCACCTGCCTGGAGTTTGCATGTTCTCCCTGTGCCTGTGTGGGTTTCCTCTGGGTACTCTGATTTCCTCCTACACTACAAAGACATGCTGGGAGGTGAATTGTCTCCTACATTGTCCCTAGTATGTGTATGTATGAATGTGAGTTAGGGCCCTTAGATTGTACGCTCCTCGGGGGCGGGGGCGGGGACTGATGGGAATGTACAATATAGATGTAAACTGACGGCGCTATATAAGTACCTGGAATAAATAATAATAATACACCCAGATCATCGATGACGAGGAGGAAGGTTCGGTCACAGATGATTGGTCCGTCTATAGCAGGGACAGGAGCCAGGGACCAGGAATAGGAGATCCACCTGACTTACCCGTGTGCTCTGACATGGAGAAGATCCCATGCTGGCCCTATGGTGGCCGTGTGTTCAGGATGGAGACCGACAATCACAGGACCTTCTAAAAGCAGATCTAAAATGGCTGAAAGGAAGAAAGTGTTCCAGGGACAGGAAGTGACACAAACAGGAAGTGACTCCAGACAAATTTATACAGAGGGTGCAGTATGGAGAGCAGACACTAGATGGTGATGGTACAAAAAAAGCTGAATAGCATGAAATAACAGTGAAAAAAAAAAACTAAAAAGCAAAAGACGATGGCGGCTCATAAAATTCCTATTAAATTCCACTCTACATGTTACATCACATCACGTGACTTCCTCAGGAGTTGGCCATCGGACGTACAGCTGCCTATATATACCATTGTAATCCTTAATAGACTAATCGGGCGCCATTATATTGTAGCCTGTCTGTCCCTTATTTGGCGGCCATTTTCCCTTGGTCTATAATTGTGTTTTTACATTACAGTGAAGTGGATTAGTTCTCCCTCCTCCATTTTGTTGTAGCCCGCCTGTCCCTCCTCCGGCGGCCATTTTCCCTTAGTCTGATATGAATGCTGGCACATTTTGTCCCCTGATATTAGACATTAGCCGGGTGATTGTATACACACAGCGGGCAGATCTCAATCAATGTCACCCACTAGTCTATACTGTCACAGGGTTGGCCAGCCAATCATGTGGCTCCTATTCTGTCCTTCCAATGACCATTCCTAGTACATAGGACTCATCTTCCATACTACATTCATGATACAACAAGATGGAAACTCCCAATATACAGAGAAAATCTCCCATAAAATACATAGAAATCACATCTGCCCTAAAGGGCCATAAACATAAGAAGATTGCCCCCGACGCCCCCCAGATTCATCTACAATACTAGCCAAGGTGTCATTGGTCCCCCTAATACACGGACAGTACCTGTGTTTCATGTACAGGAATGAAGACAACACAAGCTGCTGGTGTGAGGAATCATGTTGTACAACAGAACTGCATCCAGGTCAGCATAGAACAGGAAGCAGGAAGTAGAAGGCCATGCAATATTCCCGGATACAAGTCGGGTCACAGGATTTGTACAATGACTCTATAACAGTTTCCATCTTGTTGTATCATGAATGTAGTATGGAAGATGAGTCCTATGTACTAGGAATGGTCATTGGAAGGACAGAATAGGAGCCACATGATTGGCTGGCCAACCCCGTGACAGTATAGACTAGTGGGTGACATTAATATTATTATTATTTATAAATCGGCAACAGTTTGCTCAGCGCTGTACATTACAATGGGAGACAATACATGCGATAGTACAATAACAATACAATGCGATACACGAGAGGTTCGAGGGCCCTGCTCCTTAGAGCTTACAATCTAGGAGAGAGGGGGTAGTGGTACAGGAGGAAAATATGTGGGGGATGGAGTGGTAGGAAGAGTGGAGGAGATTGGCAATTAGCAGAGGGTGGGGTAGGCTTCCCTGAAGAGGTGGGTTTTCAGGGTGCGCCTAAAGGAGAGGAGAGTAGGTGAAAGTCTGATGGATTGAGGTAGGGAGTTCCAGAGGATGGGTGACACCCTGGAGAAGTCCTGGAGGTGGGCATGGGAGGAGGAGACCAGGGAACTAGAGAGAAGGAGGTCTTGTGAGGAGCGGAGAGTGCTTGTTGGGTGGTACTTGGATATTAGGTCGGTGATGTAATTTGGGGCAGTATGATGGACAGCTTTGTACATCAGTGTTAGCCTTTTGAATTTGATCCGTTGGGCAATCGGAAGCCAGTGGAGGGATTGGTAGAGAGGGGTGGAGGACACTGAGTGGAGGCCAGTGGAGGGATTGGCACAGAGGGGTGGAGGACACTGAGTGGAGGCCAGTGGAGGGATTGGCAGAGAGGGGTGGAGGACACATTGAGTGGAGGCCAGTGGAGGGATTGGCAGATGGGGGGGTGGAGGACACTGAGTGGAGGCCAGTGGAGGGATTGGCAGGGGGGGTGGAGGACACTGAGTGGAGGCCAGTGGAGGGATTGGCAGAGGGGGGTGGCAGAAGCGGCAGAGTGGAGCGGTTGGTGAGGTGAATGAGTCTGGCTGCCGTGTTCAGGATAGACTGAAGTGGGATAGCCAGCGGCGAGGCAGGCCAGTGAGGAGGGAGTTGCAGTAGTCGAGTCGTGATATGATGAGGGAGTGGATGAGCTTTTTAGTGGTTTCTGGGATTAGGAAAGTGCAGATTTTGGCGATGTTGCGGAGGTGGAGTCTGCATGAGTTAGTTAGTGATTGGACTTGGGGCTGGAAGGATAGATTGGAGTCAAGAATGACGTCAAGTACTCTGGCTTGCGGGGTGGGCTTGATGGTGCCATGGTTGGACGTGATGGAGAAGTCAGTGGGGGGTGGTGTGCGGGCTGGGGGGAAGACTTGTAGCTCGGTTTTGGAGAGGTTCAGTTTAAGGAAGTGGAGTGACATCCAGTCTGATATGTCGTTCAGTAGCCTAATGATTCGGGCGGAGACTGAAGGGGTGAGGCAAGGGGTCTAGAGATAGATTTGCGTGTTATCGGCATAGAGGTGGTAGTTGAAGCCGTGAGAGTGAATGAGTTGGCCAAGGGAGAGGTGTAGATGGAGAAGATAAGGGGCCCAAGGACAGAGCCTTGAGGGACCCCAACAGAGAGGGGGAGAGAGGGGGAGGTGGTAGCGTTATAGGTAACGCTGAAGGAGCACTGTGATAGATAGGACGAGAGCCAGGAGACAGCGGAATCTCTGAGGCCGAGGGAGTGTAGTTTTTTGAGGAGGAGGGGGCGGTCGACTGTGTCCAAAGCCGCGGAGAGGTTGAGGAGAAGGAGCACTGAATAGTGGCTGTTAGCTTTGGCGGTGAGCAGGTCGTTGGAGAGTTTGAGTAAGGCAGTTTCGATGGAGTGTAGGGGACAGAAGCTGGACTGTAGGGGATCGAGGAGGTTGTTGTCATTAAGGTGGGGGCTTAGGCGCTTGTAGACTAGGCGCTCAAGGAGTTTGGATATAAATGGCGGCAGGGAGATCAGTGTAATGTTGTACGAGTCAGTGGGGTCCAGGGAGGGCTTTTTAAGTATTGGAGTGATGTGTGCGTGCTTTAGGGGGGAGGGGAATGCATCGGAAGAGAGGGAGAGAATAAAGATGTGGGTAAGGGAGCGAAGGATGGAGGAGGAGGGAAAATTGTTGGAGTTGTGAGGGGATAGGGTCGAGGGGGCAGGTGGTGAGGTGGGCTTCAGAGAAGACCTTGGTGACCTCCTCAATGGTGTAAGGTCGAAGGAGTGGAGTGTTGAGGGGGCTTCAGTGTGAGGGATGTTAGGTGTGGGTGGAGGTCTGAACAGTGGTCAGGCCTAGGGAGAGGGGTGATGAGGGGGTTGCTGTGTGAGAGAGGAGACGGGTTTGGAGGGAGTTTGAGCAGTGGCGATGTCCCTGCGGATTGTGTCAATCTTGTTTTTGAAGTAATTGGCAATCTCGTGGGCGGTGAGTGCGGTGCTGGGTGGAGGCGGAGAGAGTAGAGAGTTGAAGGTGGAGAAGAGCCGGCGAGGATTGGAGGAGAGGGTATTGAAGAGGATCAGGAAGTAGGCTTGTTTGGCAGCGTGGAGGGAGGAGGTGTAGGTGTGGAAGGCAAATTTATAGCGGGTGAACATACGAGGGGATCTGGTTTTGCGCCATAGTCGCTCCAGGGCACGACTGCGTCGTTTTTGAGAGTTTTGGTGTGATCAGTCTGCCAGAGCTGGAGCGGTTGGGGTCTGAGGTTTCGCGTGGTTAAAGGCGCTAGTGAGTCAAGGGCGGTTGATAGCGAGTCGTTATAGGCAGTCATGGAGGTTGGGGCAGGACAGGGGAAGGATGCTGTTGTAAAGTTGATCAGCTGCAGAGTAGAGGGGGGCAGGGTTCAGGTTGCAGAGGTTTTGGCTGGTAATAGTATGACATTTGGAGGGGTAGGTGTTTGGGGATGAGGAGACAGAGAAGGTAATAAGGTTGTAGTCAGAGAGAGGGAAGGGGGTGTTAGTGAGGTTGTGGGGAGCGCAGAGATGGGAGAAGACAAGGTCCAGGATGTTCCCGTCGGAGTGGGTGGTGGATTGTATGCACTGTGTGAGTGCAAAGGAGGAGGTTAAGTGGAGGAGTTGGGATGTGTCCGGGTTGTTGGTATTGACAGGGATGTTGAAATCCCCAAGGATGATGGTGGGTATCTCGGAGTACAGAAAGAAGGGTACCCAGGCGGAAAAGTCATCAAGGAAGTGGGATACGGGTCCAGGAGGCTGTTAGATTACAGCAATCTTAAGGGGGGTTGGGGAGAATAATCGGACACAGTGGGCCTCAAAGGAGGAGAAGGATAGGGAGGGGGGGTTTGGGAGGACTCGGAAGGTGCTCAGTGGTGACAGGAGCAAACCAACCCCAACACCTTTATGACCGTTGGGTCTGGGGGGTGAATGTTGAGGGGGCTTCGATCCAGGTTTTGCGGCAGGGTCACGTGAAAGTGGGAGTGCACACAAAAGCGGGGGGGGGGTGCCAGTGTGAGGGGGTTGCGGCGAGTGAGGTGGTGTAGGGCCAGGGTTTATGGAGATGTCCCCCGCGGTTAGGAGGAGGAGAAGGGTGAGAAAGGTGGCATGGGAGCGGTATGTGCAGGAGCGTGTAAGTCTACCAGTGGAAGTGTTCGGGTCAGTGACATTGATTGAGATCTGCCCGCTGTGTGTATACAATCACCCGGCTAATGTCTAATATCAGGGGACAAAATGTGCCAGCATTCATATCAGACTAAGGGAAAATGGCCGCTAGAGGAGGGACATGTGGGCTACAAAAAAATGGAGGAGGGAGATTTATTCCACTGCACTGTAATGTGATAACTGTGTTTCATTGATAATAGACCAAGGAAAAATGGCCACCAAAGGAGGTACAGGTGGTCTACAAAAAATGGAGGAGGGAGATCTAATCCACTGTGCTGCAATGAGATATAATTGAAATTAGACCAAGGGAAAATGGCGGCCCGAATAAGGGACAGACAGGCTACAACATAATGGCGCCCGATTAGTCTATTAAGGATTATAATGGTATATATAGGCAGCTGTACGTCCGATGGCCAACTCCTGAGGAAGTCACGTGATGTGATGTAACATGTAGAGTGAGATAATGACTTCAAGCTGCTAAATAGGAAGTTTACGAGCCGCCATCGTCTTTTGCTTTTCAGGTTTTTTCCCTGTTGTTTTTATGCTATAAAGCTTTTTTTCGACCAGCACCATCTAGTGTCTGCTCTCCATACTGCACCCTCTGTATAAATCTGTCTGGAGTCACTTCCTGTCCTGTGTCACTTCCTGTCCCAGGAACACTTTCCTCCTGTCAGCCATTTTAGATCGGCTTCCAGTAGGTCCTGTGATTGTTGGTCTCCATCCTGAACACACGGCCACCATAGGGCCAGCATGGGATCTTCTCCATGTCAGAGCACACGGGTAAGTCAGGTGGATCTCCTATTCCTGGTCCCGGCTCCTGTCCCTGCTATAGACGGACCAATCATCTGTGACCGAACCTTCCTCCTCGTCATCGATGATCTGGGTGTATTATTATTTATTTATTCCAGGTACTTATATAGCGCCGTCAGTTTACATCTATATTGTACATTCCCATCAGTCCCCCCCCCCCGAGGAGCGTATAATCTAAGGGCCCTAACTCACATTCATACATACACATACTAGGGACAACGTAGGAGACAATTCACCTCCCAGCATGTCTTTGTAGTGTGGGAGGACACCCACACAGGCACAGGGAGAACATGCAAACTCCAGGCAGGTGGTGCCATGGTTGGGATTTGAACCAACAACCTGAGTACTGCCAGGTGGAAGTGCTAACCACTCAGCCACTGTGCTGCCCCGTGCTGTATATATCTCAGCATCTACTTCTCAGTGTTGGTTTCCTCCTCATTGCCGGCCATTAAATGGGCCTCAGAATGGCTCCGGTATTCCCTCCTAGGAAGGACATTCAGGCCGATCTCCCACCATGTTCCTCTGATGTGTCCGAGACAGAATAACAGGAGAGACACCAGGAGAACCCGCTGGGACCTGACACTCCGAGAACCAGAGTTATGGTGGAGTATAGACCCTTCCTGAGATACTCCTCCCTGGGAACGGTCATACCCCCGTACTCCTCTCCTGTACATACCCATCACTGTCATACCTCCGTACTCCTCTCCTGTACATACCCATCACTGTCATACCTCCGTACTCCTCTCCTGTACATACCCATCACTGTCATACCCTCCGTACACTCCCTCTCCTGTACATACCCATCACTGTCATACCTCCGTACTCCTCTCCTGTACATACCCATCACTGTCATACCTCCGTACTCCTCTCCTGTACATACCCATCACTGTCATACCTCCGTACCCTCTCCTGTCCACATACCCATCACTGTCATACCTCCGTACACTCCTCTCCTGTACATACCCATCACTGTCATACCCTCCGTACTCCTCTCCTGTACATACCCATCACTGTCATACCTCCGTACTCCTCTCCTGTACATACCCATCACTGTCATACCTCCGTACTCCTCTCCTGTACATACCCATCACTGTCATACCCTCCGTACTCCTCTCCTGTACATACCCATCACTGTCATACCCGTACTCCTCTCCTGTACATACCCATCACTGTCATACCCGTACTCCTCTCCTGTACGTACCCATCTGTCATACCTCCGTACTCCTCTCCTACATACCCATACTGTCACCCCGTATCACTGTACATACCACTCCACACCTCCTCTCCTGTCCTGTACATACCCATCACTGTCATACCTCCGTACTCCTCTCCTGTACATACCCATCACTGTCATACCTCCGTACTCCTCTCTCCTGTACATACCCATCACTGTCATACCTCCGTACTCCTCTCCTGTACATACCCATCACTGTCATACCTCCGTACTCCTCTCCTGTACATACCCATCACTGTCATACCTCCGTACACCCTCTCCTGTACATACCCTCACTGTCATACCTCCGTACTCCTCTCCTGTACATACCGACACTGTCATACCTCCGTACTCCTCTCCTGTACATACCCATCACTGTCATACCTCCGTACTCCTCTCCTGTACATACCCATCACTGTCATACCTCCGTACTCCTCTCCTGTACATACCCATCACTGTCATACCTCCGTACTCCTCCCTGTACATACCCATCACTGTCATACCTCCGTACTCCTCTCCTGTACATACCCATCACTGTCATACCTCCGTACTCCTCTCCTGTACACACCCATCACTGTCATACCTCCGTACTCCTCTCCTGTGTACACCCCATCACTGTCATACCTCCGTACTCCTCTCCTGTACAT